ATGGTTAGGAACTGGCTTGGGACGCCAGAGGGCCCCGGTTCGGATCCCACATATGAGGACCAGTGACACTGCCCTCTACAGCTAAGATGCTGAACAACAGCTCAACCTGGAGCTGTGCTGCCGTGAGTCGCAGGTGACAGCTTAGGCTGCAGTCCCTGTGGCAGTGGGTTGCCATGGGGCTACCGTGTGTAGCCAGCAGTCAGCGTGAGCGGCCAGCAGCCGCAGTGAGCGGCCGTCCAGAAGCCGGCGACTGATCTGCCTCGCCTGGGAAGAGCGCAATGATGGTGCCAACTTGGGCCAGTGAAGCAACGTCCTCCACAACTAGACTGAAGAACAAAACAACAGCAACTTGTCTGTTCTCCTTTCCCTAATTCTCCAGCGCTGTTCCCATCCCCCCAGTTCCCCAATAAAAAAATCTTAAAAAAAAAAATATATATATATATATATATAATGTTTAAGTTTAAAAAATATTCATTACAGTAAAAGACACAATGCCATTAATCCCCCTCAAAATGCTCCCCCTGACTTCGAACACTTATCCCGTCGTCCTTGCCACTTTCTGAAGCAGTTCTGGAAGTCCTCTTTAGTGAGTGTCTTTAGTTGAGATGTTGTGGCTGCCTCAGTGTCCTGAATTGATTCCAAACGTTTACCTTTCATGGTCATTTTGACTTTGGGGAAGAGCCAGAAGTCGCACGGTGCCAGATCTGGTGAATGAGGTGGATGAGGACACACCGTAATGTTTTTATTTGACAGAAATTGCCGGACCAGAAGCGATGTGTGACACGCAGCCTTTCCCTTGTGATCACAAAATATGGTAAATGCTGCTGCCGAGTGCCATCCAACAAAAAGTCAGGGATCTTCAATATGGGAAGCGGTGCATCAAACCTTAGTAACAGTGTGTAACAAGTTACAGCTTGTTCAGTGCAGCGGGGTATGAGGCACCGGTGAGAGAAGATGTATTTTAAAGTGTGCCGTAAATCACCCTCCATCATAACAACGCTCCGTGTCACACATCGCTTCTGGTATATGGCAATTTCTGTCAAATAAAAACATTACGGTGTGTCCTCATCCACCTCGTTTACTGGATCTGGCACCGTGCGACTTCTGGCTCTTCCCCAGAGTCAAAATAAATCAGGACATCGAGGCAGCCATGACAGCGCAACTAAAGACAAGAAAGAGGACTTCCAGAACTGCTTCAGAAAGTACCAAGAATGATGGGATAAGTGTGTTTGAAGTGAGGGGAATATTTTGGGGGGGATTAATGGCAAAGTGTCTTTTACTGTAATAAATTGTTTTTATTTAAACATTCACCGTATTGTTTGATCACACCTCGTACTTAGGTATGTAAGCATGACAAAATATTGTTTTCACGAAACCCACTTTTGAGCTCTCAGGTTTGGACTTCTGTAGATTTTTTGTTTTTTTCCTTTCCCCCCATCTTTTGTTTGCATTTTCTAAGGTGTTTTTTTTTCCTTTTATTAAAATCAGTAACAAAGGTTCAAAAATTGCCATTAGAATAATTTGTTGGAAATGTGTTTTTTAATGAGTTATAATATCTCAAAAATGTGTGTGTGGAGAAAGTAAATATCAAGATATTACTATCCATAATGCTTTTTCTATCATGTTGAAGGTCTGCAGCAAGGAAAAGCAGATGAGATCAATTTTTGTGTTTCTTTTCTGTTCATTTTTTTAAGGCTTTCTCACCTAGAGAAAGTGGCTATTTACAGGGCTAGTGTAAGCATATTTAAGTCCAACCATTGACTGAAAAATAGTTCTGTGTGTTCATTCTCCTCCTGCTTTATATTCTTCTGTATCACAAAGCTGTAATACTTTGAATTTAATCAGCTCCTAATGGCAGATGGAGGACCTGTCCCACTCACTATGGGTTGAGATGAGAGTTCTCAGCCAGGTGCACAGGGCCTCTGAATGTAACGGTTTTCAGAGAATGGCATTTAAGCTATTTCCTAAGCCAACTATAAAAAGCCACTGAACTGTGAAGCAAGTTATTCCTACCCCCACCTATCCCCAATATATGTACCTTAAATTAATCTTAAATGTCAGAATGGACTCTTAACTTTTGTCTACAGCTTGACAGTAACTTGAGGCTGTGGGCTAGCATTGTTTGCCTTAAATGCGTGTTAATAGTGACAGCTGTAATTTCAATTTTTATCTAGTCCATTACTGAAATAGCTTTAGTGTCTATTAAGAAAACTAGTCTAAGAGTGCTTTGTATAAGCTGAGGCATCTGTGGCCTAAGCCATTGTTTATAGAGATAAAGGAAAACTAAAATTTTGATGAATATGTAAAACAGATTAAAAGGATCTGACAAATAATTGTTTATGTAACACTTAATACCCAGATTTCAAATATGTTAACTTTTTAATATTTATTTGGCATTTGGTCATGATAGTTTTGATTAATGTTACTATAAAAAACTTTCAATATCTCTATTTTCTACCGTTTTCCTAGTCTTTTGTGAGAAACTACTTCTCCCACCCCACCACCAAAAACTGCAAAGTATGTAACACCATATAGCACCTTGAAAAATTAATCTCAGCATTAGCCCAAGATAATTCTTTGATAGTTGCATATCATAATATATATAATGACATGTTCTCGATCAGCTAACGTGGATTTGCACTGGCAAGTCATTTATCTTTTACAATTATTTTGAAGGGAGTCTAGAACGATCATTCCCCACAACAACAACAACAAAGTAGAGACTTCTAGCATTTGGGTCTTGGTTCTTAATTTTCTCTTTAAATAATGACTTGACCCTGGAGCCCAAGAATGATTTGAGGGAAACTAAACATTTCTACTCAACTCCAGTCTGAAGTTAGAGAACTGAAGAAAGAAAAAGACACACAATGAAATCCAGCTCCTGGAGGACATCAAAAAGGGAATTTTCAAGTCATTGCTTGTACAACCCAGCTGTTCTAATTAGCATACGATCATTTCAGCCTTTTAAATAAAAGGCTTTTTTTTTTTACCTTAAAAAAATAAATAATGGCCTGCCCTATGGCTATCTTTGGGAGTTGAAAATAACGGCATAGGGTAGTAAGTGTGAATGAATGGACTTCGGGAGGAAAATTTTTATAAATCTGCAGTGTTCAGTCAGTCTTTTTGTGTATGTATTTTACTGGAACTGGTTTTTGTTTTTGTTTTTTTCTGTTCAAGTGGTTTGTTTCAAGTGTAAATGGTAGGCTATTTGCATTCCCTTACGCATTATGTAAGGAACCCCACAAGGAAAGTCTCTCTTCTAAAGAGAAAGTTTGTGGCACTGTTGTTGCCCCTTGGCAATCAGTCAGCACTGACACACAGCAACACAGCTCAGACACAACTCTTTCAGGTTTTCCCCACTAATGTAAGGCCACTAAAAAGTCAGTGAGAGAGAGACTGAAACTGGGGGGTAAGAGACTTCGCCCTTCTCCATCTTTGATGTCTGTCATACGGGTCTTCTGGTCTAATCCCTGCAGTCTTTGCCTGGACTGCATAGTATACTCAGGGCTTTTTACATATCCTTCAGTGTGCATTAAAGGACAGCTTCACACACACCCTCCCCCCCATCTCTCCTTCCTCCCTCGTTCCTTTGGAATGTATCTTCTGCACGAAAAAAATTTATTAATTTGTAAATTCTTTCGTTCCCAAATAAGTTTTGGGCTGTGTGTGTGTGTGTGTGTGTGTGTGTGTGTGTGTGTGTGTGTATGTAATCCTCATAATGATTTTAAGTCCTTGGGGACCATGGACTATTTCTTGCAATTTTTTCCCCCATGGTACCAATTACAGTGTTGGACACAAAATAAGGACTCCATTAAGTGTTTGGTGGTTGACAATTAAAAGGATTAACGAAAAGTGTCAGCCAGGAGTTATGTATTAGCTCCTGGTAAATCAGTAGCAAAAAATTTTTGTTCCTCTACTCCTCTGCTTTTTATTACAGAAAGTAGCAACTGAATTTTTCTAGAAACGAGGAGGTGAAGTTAATTTAATAGTTACTTAAAAGGGAGAGCATTAGGCACATGTGGAAATACCTTTTGCTGGCTCCGGGAAAGAGATTGGGCCCATTTACCTTGTAGTCCTATTATGACGATGAGAAAATAAAGGGTACAGAAAATAGAGATGTTTGGTTTCCTAAGTTGCCCCAAGTTACCATTTTAAAACCGCCTGCCTGCAAGCATTTCTAAAACGGGAGTCGGTAGCTGCAGTTGCCAAACCGGTTTAACAGCACTGCCTCCACTTATTCTGGGTGAGAAGGAGCTCCGAGTACATAAACTTCTCAGAGATGACTATCCCAGTCATCTCAGAACAAGCTGTTTAGTAATGTACTGTAGTTTCTGTGCAAACCATCTACCATAAAGCACGAAGTGATTCAAGGTTCATAGTTCCTTCTTTGTTCCTTTGTTAATCACTGACTTCTGACTAGTGGGAGGTGCCTCCCAAATTTGCTAATGCATTCTTTTTGGAAAGGGATGACGCACAGATTGTCCTAATAAGGACTTAGACTGAGAAAGTACCGCCCCCTCTGAGAAGATGGGACAAGTCAGAGAGAGGGCGGGCAGTTTCTTTTTCAACCAGGGATGACACAAGCATAAGTCATTTCCTTATTAATCGGTTCAAACCAGTTCTTACAGGAACTGGTGGTGATAAATGTGGGACTTCTCCGAAGTCATTCATTTTATTCTTTGTGCCACACCAGTATGCAGCATCAGCTGAGCTCGCTTCGCTCTGAGGACACTCTTCCTGCTAGCAGGAAAGAGCTCAGCACCTACTTTCTCCCAGACATGTTGATGGGAGAGATTTTTCTCCTTTAAGGGGCTGTTAAAGGATGAATTTTTATCCACTAAAAAGATTTCACCAGCTCTGCTGATAGTTTTAGTTTTTTCCAACTCTATCCATCCCTGCTTTTTGATTCCAGGCGGTAAGTGGCTCTTTCTTTAACATTTTTTCCTTCTTTTCTTCCCAAATGTATCTTTTTTCCTTGGGTGATCGTACCCTGCTTCCAGTGCTGTCCCCGGCATTGGTCCATCTCTGCAGAAGCCATTCCAGGAATACCTGGAGGCCCAGCGGCAGAAGCTTCACCACAGAAGTGGAGTGGGCACGCCACAGGTGAGACTTTTCCTCTTTCCCCACCCCCACAGTTTCAGGCCGAAACTACTTTCACAGCACTCATGGGCATTTTTAGGTAGTTAGCTTGGCCAGGCTGCCCTAACAGAAGCCGAGGCTCGATTTGCTCTGCTAGGAAATTTGTCTTTGTCTAAGTCAGAAAATGTAACTTCTGTTTTGTACATCTTCTCTCAAAAACAAGGGTAGGGCTAAAGGAAAAGAATAGATCTGTGGAGAATGACTTATTGCCTTGATCTTACATGATTTATTAATCAGCAAGGATACTTCCTGAGTGGATGAAGAAGTTAAAATTTATAGCGTAACAAAGTATTGGACTTACTGAGGTCACTTGACTATCTCCCTTCATTTTGGCACTATGTTCTTTTCAGAGGTAGAGAAATAATCATTTTTTAATAAATCAAGGCTCTTAATGTAGCTGAACATAAAAACTTTAACTTCAACTAAGCCTGCCTTTTTGGTAAATAGTTCTGTGACAAAGGGAAATGACTAGAAGAGGATGAGTAAGCAATAACCTGAAATGGGAAACTGGAAGGAAGCATAGGTTTTTTGCTTTTTTTTGGACGGCCTTCTACTCTTTATGTGGCCCTTTGCTGCCCTCAGTTGACCAAACATGATTTCAGAAATAGATAACATTTATATTTTAAAAGCCGCTCCCAATACTGGAACAAGAATATATATCTCAACACTATCCTGCACAAGTGTCTGTGTGGTGCCTTCAGATAGTAGAATTTGATGAAAGACTTTAGTATGTAGTAAAAGAGATGACTTCACGCTAGCCCCATTCTAAACTAGATGAATCAACACTGACTTTATACCCAACAAAGTGAAATCTTAATAACAGGGTGTAAACAGGTCTGAGTGTAGATTTCAGAGTAGTTGGAGACATGAGACTTTTCATGTTTAATTATTCAGACTTTATAGGTTATAAGCTCCAAGTTCTCATTATTTTCCTTAAAACATTGTAGATGATCCCCTTTTTACTACTGAAATGATGAAACATTTCTTGTGGCTTGTTCTGCATTTGTTCCTTCAGGGAGAAAACTGGTTGTCCTGGACATTTGAGAAGTTGGTCGTCGTAATGGTGTGTTACTTCGTCCTGTCCATCATTAACTCCATGGCGCAAAGTTATGCCAAAAGACTCCAGCAGCGGTTCAGCTCAGAGGAGAAAACTAAATAAGTGGGAAAACTTTTTAACAGCAGAAATTATAATGGATGGGTTCTGCCTTAATTGGGAGGACTCCAAACCAGAAAGGAAAATTCTCGTTTCCACCCTGGATCAATTTAAATTTTTTTTCCCCCCCAAAAGCAGTTTAGTCCATATTTTGCACTGACATACTTTTCTTTGTGTGTTAAGGTAAGGTATCCACCCTCAGTTCAAGTCAAGTTGTATTTTATTACGGTGGAATGTGATGTTAGCAAACTTAACAGAAATCGGCCTTCTTTTTGTTCGTTTCAAAAGGCCCCTGTGGTACAATTAAAGAATTCCGGGCACCATAAAAAAAAGTTCCTCAGTATGTTAAATATGTCAAGCTTTTTAGGCTTGTCACAAATGACTGCTTTGTTTTTCTAAGTCATCAAAATGTATATAAATTATACTAGATTGGATAACATTCTTGCATGTCTATCATGGTAAAATTTAATATGCCATCCTGCCCAACCCCTCCTCTCCTACCTTCAAAAAAGGGCCATCTTATGATGCGATGCACACCCTCTTGGGAAATTGATCTTTAAATTTTGAGACAGTATAAGGAAAAGCTGGTTGGTGTCTCATGAATGTACTGACACCATTTTTTATTCTGTATATTTAGAATGAAGTCATGAAAAAACTTTATAAAGACCTCTTTGATCATTCCAAAATTGTGTTCGTTTTCTTGAGCGTTTTGATGTTTTACTTCCTTTTAGCTTCTACCAATTGAATGGCAGCCTTGCCAGATCCGCTTACAACCATAGTTTCTTAAGTCTTTGTTTGCATGAAAAGAGGCACCGCCAGGCATTTTTTATTAGGCTGGAATTGGGCTGCTAGCTGCACACTGCTGAAATAGCACCTTAGGGATTGGCTAAGTGAGGTGACTTCTTGGTTTGTGAAATGATGATGAGATGGTAGAGATGGTAGTATGCAAATTAAAGAACACTAGAAAGAGAGATAATTCATTTTTTAAAAAAGGCACTTTTCTCATGTGTTAATTTTAGCTCACCATGTACTCTGGTTTTTAACAGAAATTTATATGTAACCTAATTTTCTTGTCTTTTTCAGTAAGTGTTTTGCTCTTATGTGATTTTTTTCCTTTGGGGTGTTTCTGGTTGAACTGGGCCATTTTGTTTTGCTTGGGAGGAAAATAAACAATTTCACTTTTTTCCTTTAGGAAAATTGGTACTGACATTATGTTGAGAGTAGTTTAAATTTCAACAGGGCAGAAATGCCCAATTTGTTTTATCCAATCCTGCCTGAATGTCTGCTTGTTTTGCCTATCGTCGTGACATCTCCATGGCTGTACCACCTTGTCGGGTAGCTTATCAGACTGATGTTGACTGTTGAATCTCATGGCAACAGCAGTCGATGGGCTGTCTGACATTTTGGTATCTTTCATCTGACCATCCATACCAAATGTTCCCATCCAAACATTACCCAAAATCATGGTTTATTATAAAAAACTCTGGTCCTTATGTCTAGTGGTACTTGGAATCATTTATGCCGTAGTATTGCAGCAGTGTCAAGAGGATTTTATGGAAAATTGGGATAGTCCCCATGACCACAGCTAAATTAAGCATAATCAACCACCCTTAATCTTTTTTGGAAAGGTTATCCTTAATTTTTTTGTGTGTGTGTCTTTTCCACCCAGGAACTTTCTAGCAGTATGACTTACATGAAAAGCAGTAGTACCCAAACATGTTTCGATTCTTTAGTGTTCGTGTAGTTCCCAAGTCCGCTTCCAGTTGTGTTTCATCTCCTTCACCTGCATTTTATTTGGTGTTTGTGTAAAAAAAGGAAAGAGGAAAGCAAATATGAATTGTACTATTTGCATTCACTCGTTGTGTTTTATTGGTATATTTATTTCAGGGTAGGATGTTGGAAAAACTTTGTGTCTTGGGCTGAAGGTCTAAGTGATTAAAACGTTTGACTTAATGATGACGATTTTTTTCACTCTTTCAAATGAATTTGCTTTGGAAACAAATGAAGAGCAGCTCTCCTTTCCTCCACTCAGTGTTCAGGTGTGGCATGCTCAGGTGACGCTGCTGGAGTCCAGCTGGAGCAGTGTGCTACACTGGAGTTCCAGTGGTTGGTTGGTTCCTTTCTTGTACCCACCAAAGTGGGCGCAACTACATGGTCCCAAAGACATACCTAATTCATTGCAGCACATAGGAGACCAGAAACTTTGTAAATCGATGGTTTGATATTATTGCAAATAAAAAAAAGGGCCTGGGAATTCTGATTCCATGTCTACTTTGTTTAGGTCTCACTTTGTGCCTTAAATATCTGCAGTGTTTTATCATGTCTCCACTCAGTGACTGTCAAGTACGGTGCAGTGCAAATTCATCAGCAGTTCATACACTTGGTACTGAGAAGCACCTCCCTTTCAACAATTAACATATTTTGAAATGTGCAGTGTTTTCTGTATATACTTAATCTGGAGTGGGGTCTTGGAAGAAAGAGATTTTTGCTTTCATTTGGATAATGTCCATTATCCCCATTGTCTAGAAATCCAGAAGAAGACAATGCTGGAGTGAAGTTTCCGAAGTATACTGGTTAATTCAGTGTATGTAGTAGTAAGTGCTCCTATGCAGACAAGCTCAGCCCACATTCCCAGCGTGCCCTGTGCTGTCCTTAAAGCTTTAGGACAGCATAAGGCTTGTCCGCTTTGACTAGTCAGTCAGCACTGATTTTGTTGAGTACAAACAATGCATTAAGCTAATTAATCAATTGCCCTTTTGTACCCTGAGGTGAATTGTGTTTTGAGTGACCCCTGTGTGAAGAACTCATAGATGTTCCCAAAATTTTGGCATTAAAAGGCCTTATGTTTTGAAACACACTTGCCTCCATGAGCAATAGTCTATTAATGATGGTTTAGATTTCTGCCTCTAACACATGTGACCTTGAGAACAATGTTAGCTTGAAGCCTAAATTTCATCTATAAAAATAGATACAAATATAAGGCAGGTTATCCTAAGGATTAAATCAGATAAAATGAAGAATACTGCCATAATGTTCACATGTTCCCCGATTTTAACTCATCAAAGAGCATTTGATACCAATGCAAGAATTTTACAACATTGCATTTACTCTGAAAACAAACGATTTTAATGCTCTCAGCACATTCACCATTGTTTTGGAGCAGATACACTGTTTAAAGAAGTTAAATCCAAGGTACAGATTAAAGAGAAAAGCAGAAATTAATGAACTAATGACTTAAATAACAAGACCAAAACCTTTTTAAATAAAAAAACAAGCCCCCATCTAGCCTAGTTAAGGTACCAAGCACAGATACACAAAATATACTGTGAAATAATTGAAAATAACTTTTCTAACCTTCCCACCTTAAAATGTTGACACTTCCTACTTTCTTATAAAGACAGTTAATATTTTAAAAACCTGAGGCAGGGGGACTATCAGCTTTTAATTCCATGTTAAAAACTTCCCATCTAGATTATCCAGTGAGATTTGCTGGGTGTAAATAGGTTTTAAAACTGTTTTGGGGTTTTTTTTTTTAATGATTTGGTGGCATGTAAGATATTCCTCACATGAGGAATGAGGCCTCACAGTCTCATTCCTGTTAGAAAAACAAAATTGTTTTATTTTATCCCTACGTCAGTTAATGTACTCACAAAAAGTTAAAACAACCTAAGTAGGAGTTTAATAGCTATTTTTGAAAGCCATGTAACATTCCATTTCTAACGTTGATCAAAGCTCCGACATTCACAAAACATGGTAAATGAAATGCTGCACTATACTGGCATCTGAAGTGTTTTGTTCCTTTATTATTCTCAAAGACAACAAGAAAAGAAAGCACATAATGTACTTTAAAATTCTAGAAGCAGTTGAGTCATTTGTATCTGGTAGTCAGGGGTTTGGGTTCCTGTCCCTCCCTTCCCAGCAAGGCCAAGAGTTCACCTGAGGTAATGCGTTTGCCTTGGGGGTGAGGCCTTGAATTGCAGCAAATAACCTGTATTTGCATATTTAACCAGTACTAAGAGGGATTGTAATGAAAACCAGTTCTGGACAGCTGCTTACTCATTGCCTTTAGATTGGTGTGGTGCTGGGATAGGCAGGTGCCAACTGCTCATTCTCTGACCTACTGGCCTTGCAGTTTGCTGTGGGTGTTGATACTACTAAATTAAAAGAAAAGAAAAAAAAACTTAGATGGCCCCTGCTCTCCACCCAAACACCCTGGATTCATATGAGATCTGGGATTCTAATTCTGTAGTTGGGATACTGGCCCAAGCTGTGGCCCAGAGAGAGTGAGTCAGTTGTAAGTGGCTGGCTGACTCTATGGGAACAGAAATGAAATGCAGCTTAGGGGGTTTGTCAGCCAAATCCACAAATGTGTGGCTTTTTGAAACATTGGACATCTGTTCCTCGTAATTCAAAACAAACTTGAAAAAGCACAAAGTTGCTTGGCTCCTTGTTTCTCTGTGTCAGCAGCAATTATTGCTCTAACTTAAGAAAACCTAGAATCAGAGTTAGAAAATTTTGGAATCTTTAGGGCACACTTCAGAGGGTGGAACTAAATGGCTTTGGGAAGGGAAGAGATGATTGTACAATATAGAGTGTGGAAATCCCCTTCAGGAGTAATTAGCCCAGGTGTTCAACCCATTAGTTAACCATTTCCAAATGACTCAAAGGACAGGGAGAGAGTTTGGACCCACTCCAGCTCTATTTCTACAATGGAGTCTTTATTTGCATTGAAGACCACATTCCTGAATTCTTGACAGGAAGCCTCTGGCTTATTCTGGGCATCTAAGAGGGACTCCTGGGCCACCTATCTAAGCTGACAGTCACAGTCTTTTGAGAGTTTCTAAGGCGAGGTATCTACAACTTGCGCCCAAAGCCCTTTAAGGAAGAAGCCTGGTTTGTTCCAGGAGACCTCTGTAGGCCACTTTTCTCTCCCTCAACCAATGCCAAATGCAGCATTTCCCTTTGTTGCCATCTAGCCCCTTTGGGGAATAGCACGAGCCGCTTTTACCTTCAGGCCACTTTTGCAGGACAGCTGTTGTTTAATTGCGTCCCAGCCTGTTTCCTATGGGGGGAAAATGTTTTCGCGGAGTGAGGCCCTTTGGGATTTGAAAAGGGAAAAGGGATGGTCCCGCCTTTCCCTGAAGGTGGGGGCCGACTGGTCAGTTCACTGTTGTCTCACTGGGCTTCTCACTGGTTGAGTAGGAAACAGTAACAGGCTCACTCCTGGCCGCAGTGCTGAAGCCCAGCGCACCACGTCACCCAAGAACCATGTTCTCAACCTCTTCATTAGCTAAAAAGATGAAAGCCAAAAATAACTGGAGGCCTTTCTGTTTCATCGTGAGTGCGGCTCACAGTCTAGATAGTCACTTTCACTTGAGTGACAGTCCTGAACTTCTAACAGCACCAGACTTTCTCTGCGTAACCTCATTGTTTGGTCACACTCGAGGCTCTTCACACACCTGTTCCATTCCGCCCATTGCACCGACTCTTCCCACCCCTAAATCCCTTCCATGTGTATTCTTTGTTCACCACCAGCAATCAAGATTAGCAACCAGGAACCTCCTCCAATGCCCTGTACCAGGAAGCATGCTGGACTGCTATCACTTCGATAATGATTGATGGCTCACTTTGTACCGGGCATTGTTTTCAGTGTTGTTTTACATGTGCTGTATTTAATCATTAAATCCCTATAAACAACCCCATGAGGAAAGTCAAAGCAGAGAGGTTCACTCGTTTGCTGGAAGCATCAAGGAAGTAGCTGAGTTGGAATTCAAACCCTAGGCATTCTGGCTTGCAGCCATTCAGTTCTGCAGAAAAGTCCAGTGTGAAAGTCCAAGCTTCTGGTGTACTGGTTTTTCTCTTGTGATCCTAAGTAAGGAATGGAGAAAGGGAGACGACAACATATCAAGGCCACTGCCTAAAAAGTTGTGCTATTTAAATAGATGAGCAGCCCTTCGTGCTTCCCTTCGACCCAGGGTTGGAAAAGCCAGCTCCTTTTGTAGCCATCCTGTGTGGGCAGGTTCCCAGAGTGGTGCTTGCTATAATTAAGATGACAAAGCAATTTCTGTTTGTACTGACCTTTTTTTCTTTTTCAAAGCACTTTCACATCTTGAATTTTATTTGATCTTCATAGTAACGCTATGAAATAGGGCCAGTAGTGGCATTAGCCACACTGGGGGGAACATGTTGGGTTTTATTCACTTTTAAAAATTTCTTCTGGCTTAAGGTATGGGGAAGAGAGAGAGGTGTTGAAAAATGATCTCCCTCTAGGAACTTACAGTCTTGTGGGTATTATACATATATGCCAATAACTATGTAGAGTGAGGTGACTAGCATGAGGAAGAGAATTGCTGAGTAGGAAGGATCAGAAAAGGTTTCTGGAGGATGTGGCGTTTGAATTGCCAGGTAGGGGCGGAGAAAGGGAAGGTATTCTAATTAGAGGAAGCCCTATGAGAGACACCAGGAAAACACAAGTAGGAGGGCTATGTGTGGGGTGACTGGGAGAGACCAGACCGATGAGTCATAAGCTTCCTCTGTTATCCTTTGTCTTAGCCACGTTTTGTTTCCTTTAAAATACTTCCATAATTCGTAACTGGTTTGTCCATTTTCTTGTTTTTGCTCTGTTTCCTCTACTAGAACCTAAGCCCTGTAAGGGCAGACACGGGTGGTGCTCTCCTTTCTATGCCCAAAGCCAAACACAGGGCCTGGCACTTGATAGGCTTCCAGTGAGTATTTGCTGAATAAATATTTGCATGAGTCCAGGTGAGGCTGCAGTGGAGAGTCAAAGGCAGGCAGGAGGTGCTACGTGAGTAGAATCCTGGCTAGTAGGCAAAGCTGGAGTCAAGGAGGTGGGTGGAATACAGGTGAAGAAGGAACTTTGTTTCCCTGAAAATAAAGACCTAGCTGGAGAAGAAGCCCTAGCATGATTCCTCCAGGATATGGAGGGCACGCACCCCTCACAGGAGGGTTTTATGACCTGTTTAAGGGAGAAGGGTGCCTTTCCCACAAACTCCTTCAGCTTCAAATATTCAGTATGCCAAGGTGCCAAATTTTGGCACCTAAAATCATGCAAGGGCTTATTTTCCGGCTAGGTCTTATTTTCGGAGAGACAGGGAACCAGAGAAGCTGGAAAGACCGATGGGTCAGCGAGCCAGGAATGTAGGAGGAGCATGTTTGGGGGAGGGGCACCACTCTGTTTTGAACATTCCGAGGTCAGATAACTGACCAATCAATCCAGTGGCGGGCTAACTATGGTCTGTATGTACCTCAGGTTTCCTGACTCCTAGTGCATGTGCTGTCCATTAGACCACTCTTCTCCGTCCAATGAGAAACTGGACTTCTCTAGAGAACTCTCTAGAGTAATTATGTCCTCACTACTTTCCCATAAATGATCATCTAATCCTTAAATGGTTATGTAGCACTGTTCTTGAAGAGATGGCACTGTGACTGGACCTTGGGGCCACAGGAAACAGCTTTAAATTTCCTCTTCCCTGTCGTATCCTGCTTACTGAACCAGCGGCTCCTCCCTATGAGAACTGGGAGGATGGTAATTCCTGGATAGATTGTCTTTATAAGGAGAAAAGTTTGGCAATGTGATTTCCTGTATATTTCTGCTGGAGTCTTAAGATTTCCAGCGCTAGCCTAGACAGCAGTGGCAGCCACCTAGAACTCAGATGTCATAAGTATTTCCAAACAAGTATGAGGGCATCCTCCCAACTCGCCTTGCCAAGCCAAAAGGCAGAATCACAGTTTTATTACACCTTCTAGAGCATGTGGTCAAGGCAACTTTCCATTTGGCTGCTCTGGTGCTGGGGTTGTTTACATGTTTCAGTAAATGAATTACCCTTATTGAAGTTGGCTGGATAGGAGTTCAGAATAAATGACATATGACCACAATTATACCACTCACCAGGAGCACCAGAGTTCAGAAAAAAGAGATTTACTTGCGTGGTAATCCTTTGGTGGAGAAGCGAAGCACGAAACTTGACTATTCCATTCTCAAGTGGGTACACAGTTTTTGAAGCCAGTGAGAATTGGGGTGTCACTATTCTTGGCATTCTGATGGAATCAGACATAATGGGATGCCTGTCTGATAAAAGCATGTGTGTGGGAGTGCTTTCCACAATTTCAGATATAGGAAAAAAAATGGAAGCTAAAAAATTGTGCTTTTAGAGAAATGTAGAGATCAAAGAAATCTTCAGATGTTCTGCATTTTCTTCAAATGTAAAGAATCTGTCAGCCATAAAAGACATCCCAGGTCTCTGCAAGGAGGAAGTAAAAAGTTCTGTCATACACAAAAGCTTTCCTACTTTATACACTTCTTTTTAGGCGTTAGGCTGCTCCCAGATGGCCTCTCTTTCTCTCTCCTCTCTCTCTCCCATATTCAGTAGTCTTTCCTGTAGTGGGCAATGTTCATTAGAAGAGCATGTTGAGACAATAGGACCACAAACGTAGTCTTGAATTTCTCCCTTCCTCAAACTCTGGCCCTGAATGAACTTGGAGCATCCTGTAGTCCCTACACATTATTTAAGTGATAGTTTATAAACAACGATGCTGCTAGCTACTTCCACCCCTTGTACTGCCTTCTGATTCATTTGACTTAGTCCTCCATTCTTTAAAAACTGTCTCTAGGTGTTAACATCCTTTTAAAAATCACTTATTTTATCTTTCCATTGGGTTTTGAAGGCTTTGTTTTTAAAATGCAAGCAAAACAAAGGCATAAACAAGACGGAAATCTGAGAAAGACACTCCCCCAAAGAAATGGCTATGAAATCTGTGAATCCTTTCAGTCCTGCTCAAAAACTGCTCAGAGCCTCCAGTTCTTCCTGGTCTTTGGGGACTGGCATTGGGGGCAAAACGGCCAGGCGGGATCATGGGGGCATGTCTCTCATCTGTGTCTTCAGGTCAGTGATAGATAGACTGCTCCATCCCTGTCCTTACTGAACACAATGAACTATTACCATATTGACACATCTGTGCGTATTCCATAACAACATTTAATGGCCACTTCTGTCCGCCTCGGCTCCTACAGCACACATAAAGGGAGCGAGGGAGTGGCCAAACATCAGAAGGAGCTTAGATGTTAAGCAAAGAATTCAAAACAAAGGCAATTCTTCATTCTCTGAGTATATTGTTTGAATGTATATTGTCTTAAGTGGCCTTTATGTATGTTAGTTGGCTTCAGAGACAAAATATTTTAAATTATATTTCCAGGTCCTTAGTTTCCTCTCATAGTTGTGAGATCTGTTGCACATAAGGGAGCTTTAAAGGGCTGCACTGTGTTCCTGAAGTTTTGCAGCTTTACATCTCTTCTGTAGTTTTTTAGACATTTATTTTAATCTGTTGAGTAAACATGGAGTCTCTACCATGATCCAGGCAGATGCTTTGTAGCAAGGAATATATGACATGGCAAACTTAAGGACAGGGGTCAGGTTTAATTCATTTTTTGAATCTTCCCTATCCCAACACAATGTTCTTCCTTGCAGGTGTTCAATGGCTGTTTGTTGAATTAAGCTCACATCCTGCCTCTTTCATACTGTTCACATGAGCCAAGCATAAGCAAAAGCTTTTTTTTTTTTTTAAAAAGGAAACACCCATCTTTTGCCTTATGTCATGAGTCTTACTATCATGTTCCTATGACCTCTCTTGCCTAGGAAGGACAAGCTTTGTTCAACTGGTTTCTACAGTTCTCAGGACTTGGCTCCTGAAATGTTTGGAATAGCCCTGTCCAATAGAATAGAATGCAAGCCATATATGTAATTCTTAACATTTTAGTAGCTACATTTTAAAATCTAAAAAGAAACAGGTATGGGCCGGCCAAGTGGCTCATTGGTTAAGAGTTGGCTTGGGAGTGCGAGCTCTGAGCAGCCGGGCCACCAGTTCAGATCCCACATGAGGGCCAGTGACACTGCGCCCTCTACAGCTAAGATGGTGAACAACAGCTCAACCTGGAGCTGGGCTGCCATGAGCTGCAGTGGAGCTGCAGTGGGCTGCTGTGAGCTACTGTGAGTGGCCGGCAGCTGCTGTGAGCCGCCGTGAGTGGCTGTCCAAGGGCCGGCGATTGATCTGCCTCAGCTGGGAAGAGTGCAATGATCACAATACCAACATGGGCCAGTGAAGCAACATCCTCCACAACTAGACTGAAGAACAAAAGGACAGCAACTTGTCTGTTCCCCTTCCCCGATTCCCCAATAAAATCTTTAGAAAAAATAACAGGTATACCAGTTTGAATAATTTAACCTAATATGTCCAAAATATTTCAACAATTAATTTAAAATATTAGTATTTACATTCTTTTATTCATAGTGTCTGCAAAATTCAATGTGTATTTTATGCTTACAGCACTAGCCACATGTGGCTAACGACTACCTCATTGGATAGCATAGGTACAGAATCTTTGAATTTCTGTGTACTCATCATGTAAATAATTAAATTCAAACAGGACAAGAGTATCCATCATTGGCAAAGGAGATCAATTTAGGTAAGACGGAATTATTTGCTAAGTGACATGTAATTTAACTGTTTCTTTTTAAACTATTCTTGTAAGCTATCAGATTTTTCATCAGTGGGTCAAGTTCATAATTAAAAAACCATCAAGTCTTTTTTGGAAATGCTTCTAAGCTATTAGCAGTTCTTTGGGGGCATCATCAGTTCCCCCACCCTCCTTTTTCTCTCTTTCTGCCTCCTGGCTCCCTAGAGTCTAAATGATTGGGATTTTCTGTCTTTTTTCTCTTCGTCATTGAATGCCATATCTCCTCCAACACTGACCCAACACTGTGTTCCCCAGAAACTTGAAATATTTACGTTGTTTATCTTAATTTCTTGTGCAAGCGTTCTTGCTAGTGGAAATGGAATTCCATTTATTAATAAGGCTGACATTGTATCATCTGAGACATTTCAGAGTACAGGAATAGGAAATTTTAAAAAAAGTAAAACCAGATATTTTAGCTCACATTCCTAAAACTCATAGGAAACAATGTGATTAATACAGATGAGCAAATACCTCTTAAATAACCAATCAGTTGCCAAAAATGATGAGCTCGTGGGTAAAGCCATATTTGGTAGGTAGGTAGACGGAAGAAGAAGAAAGGGTTGACTGCCAAACCTTGAGCTCATGAGGAGAGAATAATGGGTAGGAACATATGGAGCATGTTGTTAAAAATTATGGACAGGAATTTGAGTGTGATAAACGTGGTGGTCAGGAGAAGAATCACTGGTATGTACCCTGCAGAGTAGATGCGGCAGAGCCCGTGAGGAGACTTTCCCAGGAAATTTAAAGCCTAGACTAGAGCTCCCGGCTCATTGTTCTTCCCATGTACCACATCCTTCCTGTAAAAAAGCTGAATGTGGACATGGGCAAGCTAATAACCAATAAGGAGGAAGCTAGAATTGTTAACACCAGACATCCAAAGAAAATTAACTCCCTCTTAAGCTTCTTCATTTAGACTATGTGGGATTGATCCTAGCTCCTTAATATCTCCTTCAGTGCCTGGCGCTGAATAGATAATGGTTGAATGAATGAACTGACTGAGAACAGTGAACTGTGGGCATACACTGAGTTCTAAGTGGCAGATTAAATAAGGAAGAAAGATGTTGCAGACTGACTGATGGTATTGGGTGGGGAGCACCCAAAGCAAGAGGAAATGAATGAGAAGGAACAGGTTTTACAGCTTAAAGAGCTTTTGAGAAAAACACAAATGGGGAAGAGTGAAATTACACGGTACTGACTGCCCACAGGGATGCTTCCTGGTCCTGTGGGATAGTGTCTGAATGCAAACAGCGCTCCAGTTACCCAGTAATCTAAGAAATTACATGTTCGAAACATCTGTATGTCCAGCAAGTTATGATTCGAATGTTGTTCTGGCTGATTGGCCATTTTGTGCAACAAAGTGCATTTCCAGTTCCACCCCTTATCTTGAAGTTTGGAATCAGCTTCTTTGTGTTCATTTTTAAGTTAACATCCCAACTCTAATAGGAAAAATTTATATTATGGCAGATTGGCAAGAAGAAGCTTTCCATGTAGATGTTTAAAACAAGTCTGCAAATATTTAGGTATCTGCACATCAAATAATGCAGTTGTGGATCATAAAAAGGGTCAACTCATGTAAGCGAATGGACCCAGAGCTGTCTAACTGGGGTTTACTTTTAACATTCATCTGCCATTGATTCCATAAGTTGCCCAATTGGACACTTTTCCCCAAGGCACTTCATGGTACCTTTCTCAAATATAAAATGATTTCAACTTAAGACTTGGTTTCAGCTTAACTTTTAGCAAGTTTCCTCAGAATCAGCTTAACCCCTAGTGAGATCACTCACAGATCTTCAGTACTTCTGGTTCAGTCTGGGAAATTGCTTTATTTAGCCTTTGGATCTCTTCAATGCTAAGCAATTACTTTTAACTTTATTTTGTAAAAATTATGATCTAATTATTTTTCAAGTACACTTGGGTTAACAAAATGCAGCAGTGGGGTGTGCCTGTTAGCAGCTGAACAGACCACTTCTGACATTCTTTAGAAATAAGATATGGTTCAGTATTTTAAATCATAGCAACAGTTGATAAGAAAAACAGCAAAAAGGTAATCATTTCCATATGGAAAGAAAAGGAAGAACCAGGGAAGCTGTGAACTGTCATTGTTCCAAATAAAAATAAGTCACCACTGGTAGATTTGGCAGAAAGGGCAAATGTTCCTATTTGTTTCCCATTTTACGTTGGTTAATGCATTGCATGTGATGTGTTTTATTGAAATACACCATTTCCCTCCAGCTCAGCTGCCAATTTCCAAGTGTGTTTTGTCCTCCTGAGTGAAACCCACATCTGTATATGCCAATTTCATCAAGCACAGTATTTCCTTGGTGATAATTTTCTCAACTTAGTGACTTTGGTGAAAGCTCTTACCCCTTTTACTGAAAAGCAGAGAACCATCTTCCACATAAGCTGAGTACCTATACATTTTTAACAAAATACTAACATTTACTTTTAAATACCTGCTAAAAGTGGGAAATCTTACCTGTTATAGAATAAAATATTCAAAATAGATGTTCACTCACTGTATAGCATTTAACAACAGCTCCCTCTTGTGGTTCGCAGCATTCACTTCAAAGATGAACACATTTAACTACAGAATTGTAACTTCTTAGATTAAAATTACGCGGTGAAAGTTTAGTTCATAGTTAGTGAACTGAATCCTTTTTGCAATGAAGAGGGAAGAGTGAAGAACAAAACACAATGTTCTCTTTTTTTGGATAATTCCAGAGTTTCACCATGTCAGCAAAGTTTCCAAAAGTTCTTGATAGAAGCACCAATTTTTTTTCTTACAAATGAAAATACCAAGTAGATGTTTTCACTGGAAATATGCTCTTCTCCATTTAAAAGGCTTTCCTCCTGTTCTGTGGGCATAGCATGTAGAAGGAATCAACATTTTACTGTGTTGCTTTTAAAATCCTGGAATTTGAAACCTTACAGAGAAAGCAGTATTGAAAATATTTTTGTCCAAAAATGACATAAGGTATACTTTCTCCTTTGTTCAATTATCACAGATTGCGGTAACTGGCAACAACTTGTTCTAATAATGTGAAGCTGTCCAAAAAGTCCTCTTCTTCAATTCCAAATTTTGTGTACTGATGAATATAGGCTCTGGTAAAAGAAACAGAAAATGTAAAATTAAAAAATCTCAGGCAAATGAATAACTCTTCAAAATCAAACACTAAATAGATCTTGGCTAGAGCATGAACATTGGAAGATGGCAGAATCTCTCAAGTCTTATATCTGCTTCAATGTTTGCTCCAAAGATTAGCAAACTTTCAAAGTTTATGCAGGTTCCCTGTCTTTTTAGTGTCCAAGAGAGTGACAGTAAACAGCACATAGGACAAAAAAACAGGTTCAGATTTGGTTGTCCACCCAGCACATAGTCAGCATCCTACAGGAGATGGCTGGGTTTACTATTAACTCGAAAACGTGCCTGGGAAGTTTTACGTAAGGCATGAAACTGCAGAAACACATGAATCCAGTTCTAGGAATGGAGTGAAGCCTTCCAAGTGTTCTTCAGACAACATCTGATTTGCAGTTACGCCAGGTCCTCCTAATACCCTTCCTCTCACCCTCCAAAATGTTTTAAGGCAGGAGTTATATTTAAATGAATAGCAAGGGCAGACGTGAATTAAGATGATGTAATAATGGCTGCTACCATTTAATGAGAGTGGGAAGAGAATGATACCAGAAAAGGACAGCGTTCACGGCCCTGAGGAGTGGGGGTTATGGAATGGCCATGTGCAGGATGGGGGGTGGGGGTGGAGCTTAGGAATCCTAGCTAATCAGAGGCCTTGTCCAACCATTGGAGAGAGTTTGTTTTGACATTAAGCAATTGTGGCAGAGGTCAGGATAGATAACACATTTGTTTGTATCAAGTAGACATTTCTTACTATCAAGTGGCATTGAACTTGTAGTATTTCTTACTGAGTAAGATCAGGATCTCTTCCAGTCTTCCAAGGATCTTATTTTGGCAAACTATCTTATTGTACCTGCTTTATAATAAAATTTTCTACTTTGATTTCACCTCATTTAGAAACTACTCATTTAGTCAACAACAATATCAAACAATTATTAAGTATTTACTAAGTCAGCCACTGTAGTAGGTGTTTTTTTTTGTTTGTTTGTTTTTGGGGTTTTTTTTAGCAGAGCCATCCTGCCACCTGTTGGCAGCTCAGCGGCAGCTCAGCTCGGGCTGGGCATCGAACCGCTATTGCTCAGAGCTCACACTCTTGAGCGAGCTCTTAACCAACTGAGCCACTCTGCCAGCCATACTAGGCGTTTTTACATGATTATCTCTCTTAATCCTCACCACAGAGCCTCTCAGTTTGGACCCATTGTACAGATAAGGAAATGAAGCCTGAGGTAACATGATTCAAGTTTCACACCTACACAGTGGTAGCCATGCTTACTTTATGCTATGGATTTAATGTTTGGGTCCCCCCAAATTTGTATGTTGAAATCCTACCCACCGTGGTGATGGTATTAGGAAGTGAGGCGTTTAGGAGGCTGAGGGTGGAGTCCTCATGAATGGAACTAGTGCCCTTAGAAATGAGGACCATGAAAGCTCTTTTGCCCATTCTGCCGTTTGAGACACAGAGAAAACACACTGCCTATGAACCAGGAAGCAGGTGTTCACCAGACATCAAATCTGCTAGCACCCTCATCTCCCCAGTCTCCAGAACTGTGAGAAAAAAGTTCTGTTCTGTATAAGCTACCCAGCCTATGCTATTTTTATCATAGCAGCCCAAACAGACGGAGACACTCCAAATCCTGCCTTGTGTTTTAACATTATATTATCTGGCCGAAGGTTACAAAGATTTGTAGACTTATCTTTTACTTACTTTGAAGCGAACATATTCCATGCCTTGCCCACAATCACATCGAGTGGTTTTACTAAGAACTGGCTATTGCTGACCAATGCTGCAGACTTCTCATACTTGCTAAAGGCTCGCTGGGTTTTCCAAAGGTTGAAAGCATCATCAGGCGCTAACCAGGAAGTATAGAGAGCTGGGTCTTTAAATCCCCCTGGAGTAAAACAACAGAAGCTATTGTTTACAGCATAAATCATTAATTTTGGAAATAAGACATATTTTCTTATCCATTTCACCAAAAATCTGTTTATTTTGCCTTTTAAAACTAGCATATTATTTTTGGATCAATGATTCATAGTCATCATTTAAAAAAGTAATTCACACTGTTCAGAAAAGTATTACTAAGAAAATGTAAGTCTGGCCAACCGAGTGGCTCAGTTGGTTAAGAGCGCAAGCTCTGAGCAACAGGGTCACCGGTTCAATTCTCACATGGGCCACTGAGCTGTGCCCAAGCTGAGCTGCCGCTGAGCTGCCAAGAAGTGGCAGGATGGCTCAGTTGTTGAGAACACGTGCTCTGAACAAGGTTGCCGGTTTGACTCCCGCATGGGATGATGGGCTATGGGCTACGCCCCCTACAACTAAGATTGAATACGGCTCCTTGAGGTGAGCGGCCACGAGCTGTCAAAGGGCGGCCAGATGGCGACTGGACTTGGAGCTGAGCTAGCTGCACCCTCCACAACTAAGACTGAAGGACAACTTGGCTGTTCCCCTTCCCCAATTCCCCAACACTGTTTCCTTCCCCAATTCCCCAATAAAATCTTAAAAAAAAGAAAAAAGAAAGGAAATGTAAGTCAGCTGAACAGATGAAATGCCACTATGCAGAGAGGATGACAATGAAGAGTTTGCCGACCAGCTTGTATATATAATTTTACACACATGCTCTTCTGTAGTCTGCATTTTTCATTCACTAATATGTTGTGAACCACTTTTCCATGTCAATAAATATCACTCATATTTAAAGTCTCCTTATGTGAATATACCATAATTTAACATATTTCCTCCTGTTTGGGCATTTAGGTTGTTTCCACATTTTTGTTAGTGTGAAAATATACTGCAGTGAATATTTTTGCAAGAACACCTCTATGCACCTGTGTCATTTGCTGTGGGTAAATTTTTAGAAGTTTGATTATATATCCTTTTATTAATTCTCTTATTTTAAAATCTAAAGTGAAAAAAAATCTAATATGAAGCCGATGAAGAAAGTACACTATCTGATTGACTTGAATGATCTCTTTTTAATTGTTACTAGATTTTTACCTAAGGTGTATTACAAGGACCAGACTGGTTTTCTTTATAGCCAATTTGATACTGCTGAAATCATCAAATAAGGATCATATAGACCTAGAAACTTGCCATTAAGAGTACTGCTCTTTCAACATCCTGAAAGTTTTGTAACAAAATGCATGATGGCACAGAGAACACTAGTTGTCCCACAAAACCTGTTCTCCCCTTCTTTAGTAACAGAACCCCCCAATTTTAACTGTACTCATGGCAACCCTTGCAGCCAGGTGTGGCACATGATTCACTTCCAGTCAAAGGGATATAAACACAAGTGTAGTAT